GTTTTATTTTTTACAGTAATTAGTTGATATTTTAAATCTCAAATATTCTTAGCATAAACTAATTTAGGCTATGTGAGCATAGAAGCATGAAGATAATTAAGCTATAGATATATATATCCTTGCGCCACTGTGATAAAACAAGTTTGCCAATTAGCTAAGACCACTTTCAAGTTTTATGTTTTGGTTTTGGTTTATTGCGGTAATTATCCTGCCCATATGCCTCAGTAATTTGCTTCTATCCGCTCATAACTATGCATATCCTGAAGTTGTAGTGAAATTTAATGAAGCTCTTAATTTACCTCTGAAAGCAAACTACGACATGTTGGACTTTCTTTGAGAGAATATACCAATTTGGTCCGGATAAGTTAGGCGGGCATTTGGATCTTGCTATGTAAAACACCTGATTTTACCTGAAGGCAAGCTAGGTCTTGATACCTTTTGTTTCGTTTGGATAGGTGGATAGTGGTGATTCCTAAATTGGCCTCACTGCAAACTGAAGTAGTATTTCTCTAGAGTTTTGACTGGATTTGTGCGAAGTCAGTTCGTCGCAAACTTATTCGCACAAATCCACATTCACATCTACAAGGCAATCCTTCTTCGGTCTACGGTAAGGCAAATTTATGAATTCCTTTCACCCACCTTTTCGAACGAAATGAATGCTATGAAAACATATCCACTTACTATCCTGTTTTTTTATCGTTTCCTGGGGCCGATCATCCCGAAAAACCCATATAGTGGGTTTATTGATGGCCACTCCCAGAACAGCAACACAAGTTACGGTTTTCGTCATGCGGGATGAGGTATTTTTAAAGGCTATTTATTGACAACTGGCCTCTTAGATAAGAGTGAGGATTAACCAAATTAAAACATTTTCCTCGACTACCTGTCTGATTAGCGTCGCGATTAAGTGATCGGTGCATTTGGATGCTCAATTTATTTATTGTACCTCATTGGTTGTGAATTATGCAATTGGGCATTTAATTGCTAAATTCGGATACATGAAAGCGCTTAAAAACGTTTAAATAGTTTAAGTGCTAAAAGCTCATTAGTTAAAGCATACCAAAGCTCTTATCAAAATTTATGCAATATTATCGATACAAACAACAATGCTTTTAGAAAATTTAATCATGCGAAAGTCGTGGCTATGGATATAATAATAATACACCTAATATGCTTTACGTCATTTAGGTAGTTTAATTAACAAATGCATGCTAGTTTATAACAGCTTTAAATTTGGTCAATCTTTTATTCGCTAAACCCGAATACTTTTTTTTCCTTGCGAATATCTAGACCATGTCTCCACTCGCCCAGGAGATGTTACTTCACGCTCGAACACTCGGAATAAGTACTGTGTTTACCGATCATTCATTGTTTGGGTTCGCAGACCTTTCGGCTATCCTCACCAACAAGGTGCTTGAGTTTAGTCTGGTTCATGCTGATGCGCTAATCTGTGTTTCACATACTGGAAAAGAAAATGTGGTGCTTCGCAGTCGGCGCATTCGACCAGAGCTTGTCTATGTCATCCCAAACGGTGTGGACGCAAACGCCTTCACACCGGACCCCGCGGCCAAAGATCACAACTACAGTGCGTCTTGGTTTCAGGGCTTAATTTCTCAATTTCAATGCTACTTGAACACTACATTTGAGCAAGCCTTATGATAGGTTTCGCTGAACACAAATTTAAGCTTTTCACTTCACTTCAATTAAGAGTTTTTTAAGGTGTATTTGAATACGCATTGAATACTATCACTTTATAAATTCACGTATTTAAAGGCATATTTATTTACAAAGCGTTCCTATTCATGATCTTTTACGAATAATAGGCTAGCAAAATGAATACACCTTGATACAAACATATATGATCATATAGTGGCAGAACCAGATGCAAAATCGAATTGACTTCGTGCATAAGTGCTACACTAGACATTTCAAACAGTTTGAAGAAAAGCTTTATTTAAGCCCTGATAACTGCTAAATCGAAACTTGTGGTGCACCTCATAGGTCTTACCATTCATAAGATATTTAGAATAAAGAGTTTCATTACTTCCGTTCTATGGATATAGAGTCCTATATTTATTAGATCACAATAAAGCTAAGCAATTATATTCTTAATGAGAAGATAACTAGTGCTTATAATATCAAATTGACCAATCTATAATCTCAATTCACATAAAGTTCACTGTTGCAGCCAAAATGCCTATTAGAAGGTATGAAGACCTAGATGGTGTGGCACTTTGTGTGGTCGCAGTCCCCTTTCGTTGTATAGAAGTTGTTTGACCTTGTTTTCGCAATTGAAGATGTGAAGACCAAGATGTTGTGGCCTCGGGTATGGTCGCAGTCTCCTTTCGACTTATAGGAG